TAAAAGGTATGGCAAGCACCCAAAAGCCATATTGGTTTGGGTTTTACAAGCAGTTCAGGTTTTACAAGAACCTATGAAGTCTTGGCTGGTGCTCAGGAAGTTCAACTGGTTAGTGGGAAATCCTTAGTGGTGTTCTGAGGTAGAGGATGTAGGCATGACTGACCAAACCTCTATAAAAATCTGGTGTTTCTTGTATTTTGTTTCTTTTCTTTACAAATGTATTGTTTTTTTTGTTGTTTTTTTTTTTGTGTTAACTCTTTCAATATTGAAATTCTTGAATCCTTGAGATCTTGTAGGTCTGTTCTTTATTTGTTTTCTTTTGCTTATCATCTACAAGATACAAGGTCAACTAGTGTAGTTATAAAGCTCTAATATCCCTAATTAACCATACTAACTGTATTAACTTACTAATTGCTTTGCATATATTTTTCTACTGTTTATTTACTTGCTTATTTACATTCCAACAATATTTACTTTTTAGCATTTAAATTTATCTTTAAGGTTCTCGTTGCAATTGATTACTACTTGAATCTCAAGTTGAATATATAAGTCCAACTAGTTCAGGTTTTACAAGCACCTATGAAGTCTTGTTGGTTATAAAAGCTTGTCTATTGGTCAAGAAGTTCAATTGGTTAGTGGAAAATCCTTAGTGGTGTTCTGAGGTAGAGGACGTAGGCAGGATTAACCAGACCTCTATAAAAGTCTGGTGTGCCTTGTGTTTTGTTTATTTTCTTTACAAAATTGTAGTTTATTTTTCTTTGTGCTAACTCTCTCAATATTGAAAAACTTGAATCCTTGAGATCTTGTAGGTCTGTTCTTTATTTGTTTTCTTTTGTTTATCATCTGCAAGATACAAGGTCAACTAGTGTAGTTATTAAGCTCTGACATCCCTAATTAACCAAACTAACTGTATTAACTTACTAATTGCTTTACATATATTTTTCTACTGTTTATTTACTTTGCTTATTTACATTCCAACAGTATTTACATTTTAGCATTTAGATTTATCTTTAAGGTTCTTGTTGCAATTGATTACTACTTGAATCTCAAGTTGAATATATAAGTCCAACTAGTTCAGGTTTTACAAGCACCCATGAAGTCTTGTTGGTTATAAAGCCTTGGTTGGAGCTCGGGAAGTTCAACTGGTTAGTGAAAAATCCTTGATGGTGTTTTGAGGTAGAGGACGTAAGCAGGATTGACCAAACCTCTATAAAAATCTGGTGTGCCTTGTGTTTTGTTTCTTTTCTTTACAAATTTGTAGTTTATTTTTCTTTGTGCTAACTCTCTTAATATTGAAATACCTGAATCCTTGAAATCTTGTAGGTCTGTTCTTTATTTGTTTTATTTTGTTTATCATCTGCAAGATACAAGGTCAACTAATGTAGTTATTAAGCTCTAACATCCCCAATTAACCATACTAACTCTATTAACTTACTAATTGCTTTACATATATTTTTGTACTGTTTATTTACTTTGCTTATTTACATTCCAACAGTATTTACTTTTTAGCATTTAGATTTATCTTTAAGGCTCTTGTTGCAATTGATTACTACTTTAATCTCAAGTTGAATACCAATATCTCAGCTATCTTTGTGTAGCAAGTCCTCTTCTCTACTATTGTTAGTGGCTAATTCTCTCTCTCTCTTCAGTTGCTAAGGCATAGACCACTAGGTGTAGCTGCCATTTTGTGTTCATTTACTTTTTGGTTATTTACACTTTACTTTTCTACAATTATTACATTTATTGTTGTTATTTTTTATTAATTGTAGAACCACTGACCAATAGCAAGTTGCATTCTTAATTGTTTAATTTATCTTTCAGCTACTATCTTCTTGTTAACAGTCTTTATTGTTACTATGCTTAATTGTTGACTTTAACTTGCAGCTCCTATTTCTATCTTGTTTGATTGTTTTTGTAGTTACAAGTTCTCTTGTTCAATATGGCTTGGTTAATCTAAGAATAACATGTTGATTGATTAGTTGCTGAAACTAACTGACCTAGCTTTAAACTTCCGTTGCGCTTTGGTTGTCCAAAAGCGTAGGTTTAGTTTGAGGGGAAGGGTCTTGAGCCTTGAAGAATTTAGATTGAATTTCAAGACAATCAGTTTTTAAACCCCTACCCAATTCATGCCCTCTTGAGTAAGTCCATCGATCATCATATGGAAGAGACTAATTCACCGGTTCTATAAACGTATTTGATTATTTATGATAACAAAGGGCAGATTAGTAATTTTACAACTCATTTTTACCATCCATTAACGGTGTTGGACTAAAGTGGTATTTTTTGGGAGTTGAGATACTACAGTGACATGTTTTAAAGTTTGGGTACTAATGGGAAACCACCCTCAAAGTACAGTGTACTAATCTACAATTATCCTTATCCAACGCCTAGACTAAATCTATAATACTTGGACTTAATTTTCATTCTTCAAGACTAGGGGATTGTAGGGATGGCAATTTTCCCCACCCCTGATGGAGATTGCTTTGGTGGCATGGAGACGGGGATGAGGATTAATAGGAATCCCCGGTTGGGGTTGGGGTCGGGGATGGGGATTGAGGTCTCCACCTCGCCCAGCCCTAACCTTGATTAAATATATAGTAAATATTATTTATCTTAAATATATTATTATATATATGACATTATTTATATTATTTGTGTATATTAAAGCATATTTAAAACATTATTTACATTTTAAAATTTTTATTTATTTTAAGTAAGTTTATTTTTTAAAAAATACTATTAACTAAAAAATTTCAGAGATTTGGGTCCCCACCAAGAACATCCTTATCGAAAATCGGGGATGAAGGACAACTTTTATCCCTGGCGGAAATCAAGGACCAGGACGGGGATTAACTTTAGAATTGGGGTTGAGAACGGGGAATATGATCTCCACCCCGAACCTAGGGGATTGTTGAAACTACACCAAAAAAAATTGCTCCTTGATTGCATAGATCTTGAAACAAGCAAATTTGTACTCTGGATGTTAAAGCTAAAATCCATTATGTTTTTTGAAAAATTTTCAATTTGGATGATATGTCTTTAACATCCACGATAAAGCAAAAGTACCTACGTCGTAGAAGAAGCAAAGAAAAGGTTGTGAAATTACAACGGAAGTTGCTTTTTATTGTTAATTAACAATGGAAATCGCTTTAAACGTGGAAGGAAAGAAAATGATCATTTAGAAAAAATAAGTAAAAATAAAAAAATCTTCTTCCATCCTCCAACTGAAAAATGTCCCAAGTCCTTTTTCTATCATCCTCATCATTCAAAACTTATCCCATGAGGTTGATTACGCGAATCCTAATTTGCTATTCCATCCTGTTTTAAGTCATATTTTTTGTTAAACTATTTGTGCTTAGATACTATTTCTACTCAAGTTCTTTTTGGTTTACCCCCTAATCCTTTTAGCCTCCAACCAATTACATAGATAGTTTAGATGGAGGACAATATAATAAATTTTATCATTGTACAATCTTATTTTGTGAAAAATTCAAGGAAGAATGACTGATCAGTCCAGGTCAGAATTTTGTAGTCCCACCGTACAGGGGGATGAATCCTGACCATGAATTGATGTCAAATTCATGGGCAGAATGCGATTTATAAGGGGGGGGGGGCTACTAATAGACCATAGGGGATTGTCATTCAGAATTCTGCATTGGGCTGCAGAGTACTTAACCCAAAATTCAAATGGAGGGATAGTATAATCTGATGGGATCATTGGAGGTTTTCAAAACCTAGGGTAAGTTACAATAAAAAAAGCGAAAGGGGGGTTATTTTTTATCATGGTTTTGAAAAACCACATTGGACCAGATGATTGGACCGGTTGCCCAGGAACTGGTCATGAATCCAGACCCAGTTTTAGACCCCAGAATCATCCGACCAGAGGACATTTAGACCATTTGACCCGGGAATCGGTGGTCAAAACGGTTCTCAAAACCATGTTTTTGATAATAACATAACAAATTAATGAAGACTAAAATAATAAAATAATCTGAAATTGCTTTCTGCATTTCACATCAGAATTTTGAATTAAATTGCAGAACTATAATGATTCAAAATTATAAATACCTCCACATTATAACACCCATACCCGTTTGTAAATTGACATCAATTCCGTGCTGATACCTACCCCCGACTATACAGTAGAGGTAGGATTTCTAAGGGTGAACTGAACAATAAAAACCTCTATTATTTATTCCTTGATCTGGTTATCAATGTTTTTTTAGTCAAAAGGACAATTAAAGAGTAAGATTGAGTTAAGGAAACTGGAAAAAATAAGGCCAAAATTTTTTGTGAGTACACTGCAGAATTCTGAAATTACAGTCGATCCTCCATAATTTATTAGTAGCCCCAGCATCAATCCAGGGTCAGGATTGATCCCACCTCTAGGATGGGCTAAGAATTTTGAGGTGAGGTGAACAGTCATTCTCCCAAATTTTACGTCGCGTGTCCTTTTTTGTATAAAAAGGTCACTAGAGCAATCATTTATATGGTGTTGGGAAGTGTAAGCGCTTTTCGGGATCGATTTAAAAAAAAAAATAAAACATCTATGCTTCCTAGACCTGTTTTTCACAAAAAAAACGCTTCTACTACGTAGGCAGTGAGTAATACTATACTGTTTGGCAAGGTGATTTTCATCATCATTTTTCATATATTATCTGACAAGTAAGCATCACCTAGGATACACATCAGTCAACCGTTGGGGGAAACAGTTCACTGATACATGAACTGTTTTTGTAATATTCGGTGGGATCCCGAGAGGCATACCCGATTTTTTAATATTCAGCTAAACCAAACAATGAGATACATGGGCGTTTGTTGAAACACCTACGTGGATTCGACGGTCACAGTTCCAAACATCCCATTCTTTGATCTGGTCTCAGCCCTACCAACCAGCTGGTAGCTATAAAAGCATATCGTTATTATAGAGAAGTCCGTCTTCATCTCTCATTCAAAACATTGTTTTACTTTCTGCTTGCTGCGACTGTGTGCTTGTTTTCATGGCTCTCTCCGACTTTTCCCATGGAGCGTCTTCATCCTCTGATACCAACCTTGTTTGGAATTACGATGTGTTCCTGAGTTTCAGGGGTGAAGACACCCGTAAGAACTTCACCGACCACCTTTATGAAGCTTTGAAGAGAAGCGGGATTCACACCTTTAGGGATGACGAAGAACTCATGAGAGGGGAGGAGATCTCGTCAAAACTACTGAAAGCAATCGAAGAATCAAAGGTTGCGATAATCGTGTTCTCGAAGAATATTTATGCATCTTCAAGATGGTGTTTGGATGAACTTGTCAAAATCATGGATTGCAGAAGAACAAACGGCATGTTGGTGTATCTTGTATTTTACGCGACATTGATCCATCAGATGTTCAGAATCAGAGTGGGACATGATGAATCGATTTTTTGTGTTAAGTACCTCGTCATTTGGTCTGCTTCCAAGTGGCCGATGACTCAGAGGCTGAAGTGGAGAATTTTGCTGGGTGAGGACCTAGATGCCGAGCTGACCAGGCTGAGTTGGGAGTGGACTCGGTGCCGAGCTGACCAGGCCGAGTTGGGGGCAGGATAGGTGTCGAGCTGACTGGGTAGAGCTGCAGATTAGGTGCCAAGTTGACCAGAGGGCTGCGCTGCATATTAGGTGCCAAGTTGACCAGAGAGTCGAGCTGCATATTAGGTGCCGATCTGACCAGGCCGAGCAGGGGGCAAGCTAGGTGCCGAGCTGCATATTAGGCGCTGAGCTGACTGGTGGCGAGCTAGATTGATTGTTGAGCTTCGTAATTCTTTAGAGACCTGCAAGGAATCAATGTCAGAGGACCTAGGGTGACTAACCCGGCGAGGTCGCTCCGATGATTAAGTTAGTACTCTCATAGTAGATTGTGAGCTAAAAAATCACAAAGTATGAGAACTAGAATGTGCTTACTTGCCCCCCCATGCCATTGAGGTTGGTGCCTTTATATAGGCATTGTTTGGCGTGGGCTTCACGCACTGCATCCGAGATTTCCGCGAAATCGTCTAAGTAGTTCGAGATTCCTGGAGGCAACTGCCATGCACGTTGACCACCCTCCGGAACGTTCGGTACGTGGGCCAACTTCCAAGGATCGTGGGAGTGTTGGGATATGCATGCTGAATTTGTCGGCGAGAACTTCTCGCAGGTCACCACCTGGACGTCAATCAGGCTGGCACGCCCTCGAGGGAGGTCGCGTCCAAGGTCTTCAGCTCGCGTCACTTTCCCTAGTTCGGTATCGTTCCCTTGGTGAGTCCCCTTAGCCTTTTTCAATTTCCTTTCCTTTCCTTTTGCGATGCCTAGTTCAAGTAGTTCGGGTAGCTTAGATAACCTCTCAGAAGGGCCTGAGGCAGAGACCTCGAGTCGGGCTAACTCTTTTGATAGCCTTCTGGATGAGCCCGAGGTAGGGCCTTCAGCCAGGGTCACCACGGGTAGCCTAGAGTCTACTTCTCGTCGGGTTCAGATGCCGGACACGTTCGGACCCTCCACTATGACGTCTGAGAGATTTCGGTCCCTTGTTCGTCAGTTCAACCTGCCTGGGGAGTATGCATATAACTTACCTTCGGGCAACTTCCCTTGGGAGCACGGTCCAGATGAAATCGTGGTCTTCCGGGAGCAGCTCATTGCCGGGCTGCGCCTTCCTCTTCACCCCCTAATCGTCGAAGTCTTGAACCACTTCGGCGTCTCAGTCGGCCAGCTTCACCCGAACTCTATTCGCAACGTCATCGGGACCATATCCCTCTACTGCGAATAAGTTATTCCTTTGGACTTAGAAATTTTTTCTACTCTTCTTATGCTCAAAAAACAAGCGAGCTTCCTTCCCGAGCACAGGCGGGCTTACTACCTGTCTCCCCGCCCGGGATTCAAACTTCTTCACAAACTTCCAAACAAGGTCCCGACGTGGAAGCGGGACTACTTCGTGGTCCGAAGTGCTACGGAGTGGCCGTTTTCTACTCAATGGAGGGCGGTTGTCCTTGAACCCGGCGTCATGTTGGATAAAGACAAGGCGGAGACCTTTCAATCCTAGGACCAGGTCGGGCTCGAGTGCGAAGAATACCTCTCGGAAGCTAAACTTATTTAGGCCGGTCTGAGTCTGGGTAGGCTTCTTTACTTAGTTTTCTTTTTTTTTTTTTTGTATTGATGCCGAGCTCTTTTTGTAGGTATCATGGAGGCAGAGAAGACCCGCGATGCCAACCTACTTGATGGAATGAAGAGGAGGAAGCGGGTCACCAAGCGTGCTTGCGTGGAGTCTCCTCAGGTCGTGGAGTCCGAAGCCCCGAGCCACCCTCCGGTCATCTTCTCCCTGGGAACCTGAAGCGGCGGGGCCGATCCCCGAAGTGGCAGCGGAGCCCGACATCGCAGAGGCTCGGGAAGCCGAAACCACAAAGGCTTCTCGAACTCCGACAATGTTTTCCAGCTTGGGGAGCCAGGAGGGGGTTGGCAGTGTGCTGCTCCAAGCTGTGCTCTTCGGAAGAGTAAGAAGGCCGTTTACCCAAGCGAGGTCGCGGCATGGTCCGAGCTTCCTCTAGGCCACATCGGCGCACGTGCAGCGTCTCATGTCATGGTGGTAAGTTGACACAGTTCCCTTTGTGCCCTTCTCATTTTTTTTTTCTTTTTTTTTCTGAACTGACTCCTTGCTTGGCAGGCAAACTCCTCCATCCATGCCCAAATTATCCAATCAGAGAGGAGCCTAAAGTGGGCACAGACTGCCGAGGAGGCTTTGGAATCAGCTCGGGAGCAGGTGCAAACTGCCGAAGAGGCTTTGGGATCAGCTCGTGAGTGGGTCCAGCATCTTGAGGGCGAGACTTTGGTTTAGAGGAGTGAGTTGGTGAGACTCCGAAGGGAGAACGACGCCCTGAGGCTTGTCGTGAAACACCTCGCGACCTCGAAAGGGGGCATGGAGCACGAGGTGGAATACCTCAAGGCTGACATCAAGGAGAAGTCCGAGATCTTCTTCTAGGCCCTTGAGGACACCAAGATGAAGGTCATCAAGGACTAGATAGCGTCAGAGCGCTTCGACGACCTGATGGTGGGCTCATACCGGAGGGGCTTCAAATTGAACCGGTGGATGATAAGGCATTCCTACCCCGAACTTGATATTTGTGCCATCACCACCTCGCGTATCACTTTGGAGATGGCTGCTGCGGCCGATGAAGATCTAGACTCTGACGACGAGGTTGACCCTCCGAAGTGATATGTATCGAGCCTGTGAGCTCATTTTTTCTTCCCTCTCTTTTTTTTTTGAACACTCTAAAGCGAACATTAGTAATGAAGTACTTTTTCTGCTCAAGTGTTGTGCAACTATTCTTCTTTTTCCGAGGTGATTATATTGCTGAGCTACATAGAATTAGGTCCCCGAAACGAGGCTTGAGGCGGGTCAACATAGTAAGGCTATATGCCCGATCTGTTCTCCGCCTGGGTAAAGGAAACATCAGTTTAGTAGGCCTGGCTTGGAGTGAGCTATACACCCTGGGTTTCATACCCGTGCTGCCTGCTCTTCTTGGCACTAACACTTAGTTTGCGTTGATGAGGTCCCGTGGTCATCCTCAGCTTGGCGCTTTAGCCCTTAGGATACTTTCCTAGGTTTTTTGCCCATGCCGGAGAGGCGATTGGGAATTGTAGTGTCGAGGTCTTTGTTACCTCGGTGTTCTGGCCCATAGGCTCTAGGAGCGGCTCTAGGAATGACCCGAGTAGGTCGATGCCCCACTGTGCGAAGGGCCATGGGCTGGTGAGATACTTGAGGTCGGTGGCGGGCTGGTGGTGAATATTGGCGTGCCTCTGGCACTTATCGCATTTCCTGACTAGCTCAATGGCGTCTGCTTTCATTGTTGGCCAGTAGTACCCCTGTTGTAGTGCTTTTTGAGTGAGGGCCCTGCCCCCCAGGTGTCGGTCATACAGGCCTTTATGAAAGCTCCACTTCGGGAGGCCGTAAGTAGCACAGGTAGTGGAGCGTGTAGGATATTCGGTACAACCGTCCGTCTATTATGACGTATTTGGCTGTCTGGCGCTCTACCCTCCTAGCGACATTGCGATCTGCGGAGAGGGTTCCATGTAGCAGGAAGCTCGTGAGTGGATCGATCCAGCTCGGCTCTGCTTGGGCGATAGGAGTGACCTCCTCTGCCCCCCTGAGAATGCTAGGCTGAGGTAAGTCCTCTATGTACACGGTTCTCATGGTGTTGTCACTAGTGCTGGCTAATTGGGACAGGGCATCGGCCTCAGCGTTCTCTGACCTCGGGATTTGCCTGATGAAGTGTGACTGGAAGTTTAGCAGAGCCTCCTTTACTTTTTCTATGTAGGCAATCATAGTTGGTTCGCGGGCTTCGTATTCGCCTGTAACTTGGTTGACCACAAGCTGGGAATCGCTGCAGATAACAATGTGTTTTGCTTTTACCTCTTTGGGTAGGGCCAGTCCAGCTATCAACGCCTCGTACTCCTCTTCATTGTTAGACGCCGACAACTCGAATCGTGTGTACTCCAGTTTTGTGCCGTTCGGGCCGCGGAGAACTACATCGGCTCTGCTGCCCTACTAATTTGAGGAGCCATCTACATGAAGGATTCAGNTTACCTCTTGCGGGGCTAGCCCGGTTATCAACACCTCGTACTCCGCCTCATTATTGGATGCCGCGAACTCAAAGCATAGTGTGTACTCCAGTTTTGTGCCGTTCGGGCCGCGGAGAACTACATCGGCTCTGCTGCCCTACTAATTTGAGGAGCCATCTACATGAAGGATTCAGGGCTCTTCATCACAGTTTGCGCTTGGCCTAACCAGAAGAGATACCGAACTGGATGCGACCTCACGGTGCTCGGACTCAACCGGCTTGGGAGCACTGAGCTCACCCGAACTGGGAGCCTTGTGCTCAACCGGGCTAAGGACCTCGGAGCTGAATGTGCATTCTACAACAAAACCCGCCAAGGCTTGGGCTTTGATAGTAGTTTGTGGCTTGTATTGGAGGTCATACTCACTGAGTTCGATGGCCCACTTTGTCAATCGACCAGAGACCTCGGGCCTGAGCAACACTTGCCTCAAGGGTTTGTCAGTGAGGACGATAATGGTATGGGCTTGGAAGTACGGACGGAGTTTACGGGCCGCAATGACCATCGCATAGGCTAGCTTTTCTATCTCTGGGTATCTCATCTCTGCTCCCTGCAATACTTTACTAACATAATAGATGGGTCATTGGACCCGATCTGCTTTCTTTATCAGTACCGAACTGACCACTTCGTCGCTTGCCGAGAGGTACAGTTCTAAAACATCGCCCTCTTCGGGCCAGGTCAAAACCGGGATACTTGCGAGGTATCTTTTGAGCTCGTCAAACGCGAGCTGGCATCCTAGGTTCCACTCGAACCCTTTGCTTTTCATTGCCTTGAAGAAGGGCAGGCAGTGGTCTGC